AGCATACCAAAAAATTTTAGGAAAGAATAACTGATAGCAATAGGAAGACCATTGAATCATTTTGTGACTTTAGTATAAGCCCAGAAAATTTGGGGATACTAGCTGAAACGGGAAATGTGTTATTGGCTCCTTGTTAGTGACCTTGCTATTGCCCAGCAAACCATTCTGTTACATGTTCCCTACTGTTACATAACTAAGAAGGTTAAAATATACTTAGACTGTCTTGTATGCACTTTTATGTGTTATTTATGGAACCGAACACATAAGTTCAAACTTAGCACCATAGTTATATACCATGTATATAATTATAATATATGTTACAAAAATTACATATCCGTTATATTAATTTCCTCACATAAAGATTATAGCAATTTATATATCTGTGTAATCTACATTGAAGTAACAATTTGTACTAAATTATTTCGTACAAAATGTTACATAGCCTATATATACATAAATGCTGTTGATCAAACGGTTCTTGAAATGCGCATGTTTCTTAGGTAGGTAAGTAGGTATATCTGGTGCATTATTTTTAGTAGCGTTTCAATATTCGATGGTGGCTATAGGCGTTTTATGGAGGTACCTGTGGCATTTTTGGATTTTTTGTGGACAATAGCAGGTATGTTGAGTTTTTATAATGGAATTGAGTTATATGTGTGCGCTGTATTTCGATGATACATTTGAGGTGTAAATATTAATTTTTGTTCTCTTTTCAGGTCATGCTTTATGGGGCCCTGAATTTTGAGGCCGTGGATCGTCAATAATAGCAGATATTTTGTGATTTTTATGATGAATTTGGGTTATATTTGTGTGCAATATTTTTATAACACATTTTTGGTTTCGGTTATGAATTTGTCCAATAAAATTATTGATATACCTAACAAATACGTTTAAATTACTTTTCTTTTTCCTCCAAATATTTTCGACGTTTTTTTTTTTGTAAGTATTTGTCATACAGTGTGTCTACTTAAGTTGGAACCAAATGGAAAACTTTTTGATTAGTGATTTTGTGAAAAAATGTATTTTTGATAAAAAGTTCTGCATGGTCCAAAACTTAAAATGCAACCATCAGATATTAATTTGTTTAAGCTGTATACGAGGTTTGCCAAAAAATATGAATTTTTCTCAAGAGTAAAGTACCTTTATATTTTACAATACAGAAGAATGTTATGAAGTGAAGTTATTTTGAATTAAAAGTTATATTTAAATATACAATTTCGGCCATTTAGCATTAAAATTCAGGTTTGGTGATTAATTAATTTATAACTACAAATAATGTAAAATGTATTACCTAACCTGAATTTTCATACTAAATGACTGTGATTGCATATTTGAATATAACTTTTAATTCAAAATAACTTTACTTTATAATGTTCTTCTGTATTGTAAAACATAAAGGTACTTTACTCTTGAGTAAAATTCATATTTTTAGACAAACCTCGTAGACAGCTTAAATAAATTATTATCTTATGATTGCATGTTAAGTTTTGGACGATGTAGAACTTTTTATCACGAATACATTTTTTTACAAAATCAATAATAAAAAAGTTTTCCATATGGTTCCAACTTAAGTAGACACACTGTATAACTAATACCTACATTTTGAGACGACACATTTATATACCTTCATTTATATAATATTTATAATACTAATGTTATATGAAAAAAGCAATGTATATGTGCTGTAATAATGAAGCATATTAAATGTTACAATGGTAATATAAATGTTACATGTCTTCCGATATATAACATTGTTCCTTACATGTACTTAACACATTACATCACAAATAAGGAACCTGCTATATAACAAAATTAGGTCATTTTTCACAGTAATCACGTGAGTTATTTTGTAACATGTAAGTTACTTTGTTATGTAACACGGAACTAGTACATGTAAATGATACATATATGTTACATGTTTGTGTTTGCTGGGTGTACAATTTTTCCAACACAAGTTCCATGATCCTTTGAACTTGGCTGCACCGTACTGATGAAGACCAATAGTCAGAAAAACGTTTCGACTGTTACTTCTTTTTATTCAGAAAATGTCCACTATTACTACCTTGATGCAACTTTTTCTTCTGATGATAATTTTTTCAGAATATGGTTTTGTCTTATTTTATTTGCCCATGTACAACCCTTTATAGCTTACTTGTGTTCATTTAAATTATTTATGTACAACTTAATTTATGCCACTGTAATTTAATTATAACCAAGTAATTTTACAATAAAACTTTTCTGTTATATCGCATCTTTATGGTCCATTATTCTTTGTAATAAACTCATTAGATTTATATAGCCTATAAAAGTTGAGCAATGTGTATTGCATCATTCACTAGTTATATTACAAGTTCATGTTACTTAAGCCATGATGAAATATTTGCTGAAAAAAGATAATCAACAACAAACTCTTTCTATGTAACACACTGGTGTGTTAAGTCTTTGAATGTATATTGTTAAACTAGAACTTATTCAGTGAAAATGAAACAAATTTTTCTTTTTGCATTAACAAAAAACTTGAAAATATAGTGAATTGTGTAAAGAAACAATAATATGTACAATATAATATTTAAAAGTATGACGAAATCAAACGGCAATTTATAGACCAATATTATTGTGTACTTTTTATTATTTATTATTGCAATTGCATTTATTTACTATTTCCTGGATAATATTTCACAAGATCTTCAAAGTTTTATTAATAGTCATTGAATGGTTATCAACTTATGCTTAATTGAATATGTTTCTGTTCATGTTTCGGATAACCAAGAATAAAGAGTTCTAAAGCTTTGGATAAGGTTGATCCTAGAAACATGGTCTCACAATTGTTTGATTTTGGTTTCTCTAGTGGGGTTATTATTTTATATTACATTTACTTATTTAGGTACCTGAAGCATAATGTAATTTGTGAATTGCTATGTAGAAAGAAAATTGTTGGCAAGTTATTAATATTATCACCCCATCATCTGTTATTAAACAAAATGGGTTTTTTTTATCTCTCGAGTTAATGAATATTAGTTATGAATGTCACATACTTATCTAATTATTATTTGAATTTATGAAAGAAAAATTTTTGCAACAAAATTATTATTAATATTACCACTCCATTTATTAATTGCTATTAAACAACATGAGTGTAAACACAATCAAATTACTTGAATTTTTTAACGTTTTTTGGTGAAGTTTTATTTATTCATTTAGAGAAATATCTGAATGCATTATTTTAGAAATTTAGTACACTTTTGGACATATACTGCCAAAGAAATGATATAAAAATCGTAATTTTTAAAAACCGTTGCGACAATTTATTCTACATCTTTTGGTCAGGTTTTTCTATTAATATTAGTTCCGTTCTAAGTAGGTACATATTATAGTTTGTATGTTTTATGCTTTATTTTATTACATGTAATAAATGATAGGAAATATACTTTTATAGTAAATAAATTGATTAAAGCAATATGTAAGAATAAGTTTATCTAAGGATTAAATTGTTAAAGCAATTTTTCATATCCATTGTTTATTAATTTGTTTCATTTAATTCTTTCTTATTGAGTAAGTTATTTCATATAAATATGGGATACTTGTAAAATGTAATATTTTCTTTTAAATAGGTATGTATTATGTTTGTATAAAATATTGTTCAGTTAATAAAAACAGAAATATTTTGTCTTTTATTCAAAAGGAGTTTGTAAATTTTTCAAAATATATTTACCTACCCCAAAAAAAGATTAATAAAACCAGTTAGTCATATACACATTTTCTATATATTTATAGAGGTACTTTTTAAATAACTTTCAATACATTCGAAATCTGTGGTTTTATTAAACTCATATAACAAATAAAAATAGGTATTCTCAAAAATATTTAAAAATAAAATCGAGATGGGACTCTTTTGTATAATTTAGTGACCATTCGCCTATGGTTAGTGCACTGCTGTATGTCCCTGGGTTTTCTACATTAGAACAATACTGCTTCTCCACTCTAGCAGTATTTTTTGCATCTCGCAAGATTATATTTATTAAAAAACCAAGGAATTGTTTTAGGCCTATTGATGTGCCCTTTTCCAACATTTCCAAAGTTGTTTTACTTTCTGCTGATTGGATCTCCGATAGCGACAACTCCATTTGTTGTTCCACTAGTTTTTTATCAAATTTTTAAAATAACTTCTATATATTTATCTTTTGCAACGACTTTGCTTACCTGCTTCATAATCTCTTCCCTATGTCCCAATTTCTTTAACAGGTGAGATCTATTAAATCATTATAGTTTATTTGAAAATGCTTGGTAGCACAGTTTTTATGGCAAAGGTCCATATTTTTATATAATTTTGCTATTATTCATTTTCAAATAAACTATAGGAATAGGAGTAATTTATCAGTTTTTCTAAAAATACCTTGTTACCGTCCCTAGTTAAAAAATTCGAGTTTTTATTTTCATAATATAAATAAATGATCGGTTAACAATCACATTTTTTTAAATAGTACATTTGACATTGAAGTAGGTATTTTCTCCATATTGCCAAACAGGAACAGATGGTTTACTTGTAATTTGAATTATATTACATAAATCTCACTGAATTTCTCTATAATTCTCATAGCAATATGTACACAAAACACTTATCCAATAATATATAACCATGTAAAAATAACATTTCAAGAACGAGAAAATTTATAAAACCGGTCCTGTCTGAACAGATCTAGGAAAATCAAATAGGTTTGTCAAAGTTTTGTTCTTAATTTGAAATTGGAAATTGTGCGTCTCACTCACTTATAACTAATAACAAAGTGCAGATTATCGGTGTTCACGTATTACAGAACACACAAACTAAAAATCAGTGTAGCCAAAACATAAATTTACTTAACATGGCGACAAGCTTGAATGGGGTCATTTTTTTGTATTGACAGCATACGCCAAGCGGTATCTAGACTTTCTGAGGGCTATGACTTTTACTGACATTTGTAGAAAAAAGTACTTATTATAATACTTTGTTTTATTTTTAGGTATTTTTGATCTAGTCGTCAGAGTATATCATGAGTTGAATTGTGAAGTGGCAAGGCTATGGCTCGGTCCGCGTCTAATTGTTGGTATTGGGAATGCCGAAGATGCAGAGGTATGCTAAACTTTAAAATTAAATAAGTCACAGGGTGTTCTGTAATAAAAAAAATATTTTCTTCTGAAGACACTAGAGAACATTTTAGATAAAAATTTTAGTGAGTGAAGCCTTCGGGCAAGCCTGCTAAACTTCTCCCAATATACCTACCAAGCAGGCAAGTTAACTGATCAAGCTCTGTGAAGGCCCTCCGAAATTCGAAAATTTTTGTTTTAGAAGCGGCATGCGTTTGACCAACTATTGACCATGTTTGACCCACCCACTAACTTTTTTTGACTAACCTCAGAAACCTAAATATTAAAAAAATAATAAAGGCCGAGTGTGCGCTGGCCCCCCAAAGTTAATATTTTTTAAAATTGAATGTACCATAAGAGTAACCAATTTTAGACCATATTTGGAATGATTTAAAGATGTAAATGATAAAAAAACAAGAGTTCTGTAACGAATTTTAATTTTGAAAAAATGATCAATCGTCAGAAAGGCACAATAAGACCCAAAAAGATGTTTTTCTACGTTCATGCAAAAAATAAAACTTTATTGAACTATATTTAGTGAAAAAACTGGTTCTTTATTGCACTAGTGCAATTAAAATTTTATTGCACTCATCTGTAATTTTACTACAGCGTTTTATGATCATGACAAACATAAATATTCAAATCAACGCCAACTATTTAGTCCATTTTCATTTTCTGTGTTACGTTTTAAAAACAATTGCATATTTTATATTATTTTCAATCATTTAAGAAATAAATTAATAAAAAAATGTATTTTATTAAGAATGTCATTACAAATTATGAACACAAACGTAAATAAATGCATAAAACAAAGGTACCTCTTATTTTCATATATAATATGCATATATATATATATATATATATATATATATATATATATATATATATATATATATATATATATATATATACACAATTTGTTGCATTCCAAAGTTCGTATTCTTTACGCGCTTGTTTAGATTTTTTGATTTTTGCTAAGAAAGTTAAACTGGTTTATTTGTATTTTAGCATACTTTAGTTTAAACTTTTTATGACATGAAAGGTAATTTACAAACTAGAAATAAACTTTTCAAATTTCTTCCTAAAACGATACTAATTCCGGGCCTGCTTATGCAAATTTCTTGTCGGTCGGAGGCTTGAAAGCAGAAGCGTTGTATGAAGATAATATAGTAGGATAATGCAACAGTAAAAAGTGTTGGATGCAATCTCGAGCGGCATCTAGTGACGATTTAATGAAGTAGTCAATTTTTAATGCTATGCAGATACGCCATCTACGTATTCTTTTCGTTCAGGCACATGGCCTCTATCACCTACCTATTATAGTTAAAAACATCTTTATTTAAAAATAACAATTCATGATAAAAGATATGAAAAATTAAACATAATAATGAAAATTTATTCCAGTTGACAAAACCGTACAAATACAATTTTTGGATTAAGGTGATAAAAAGTGGTTAAGGACTTTGGTCAATATTTTGGTTATGTGCGGTTATGTCAAAATATATAAACAATAACAAAGAATATCTAATAACAACTGATAACAATGTTCAATGTTTTAAATATCAACAGTTTGCAAGATATTGAGTTAAGAAACAAGAAAATCACTAGTCAGGGAAAAATCAATCAACAATCAACACTGGAAAACAAAAAAAAAATAGTCACAGGGATATATTAGCGACTTCCAAATGTATCTTGACTGTTGATCATGAATATAAGAAAAAATGTTCTCTCGGCTGGCTCTGAGTGTTGAAATAAATCACCTTGAAAGGAAGTTTTCAATAACTCCGCTCTTTAGGAATAGCTCAAGACGAAATCGATAGACCTACAAGTGGTCTATCTGTGGCAGACATATTCAGTTAGTCTTTATATTTAATTGCCAACAACTTGCCAAAATGGTTAAAATTTATTTCCTAAATCAGTGCTCTTATTTAGTACAGAATTCTACGAACGACACAATAATTATAAAGTCCTAACTTTGAACATAAAAGAAAATCTTATAAAAAACATTTTTTTATATAATTTATCACTGTTTGGAAAAGTATATTTGTTTGTAAATATTTGTATTTAATCCAGGTTAAGTGTCAGTGCGGGAGTGTAATGTTAAGTATGAACAAAATTCGCCCATTCTGTTTATACGTTTGGTTACCGACCCTAGTAGATAGGCTATTTGTTATTACTTTAAATTTAGATTTTGGATTAACGTTTTGTATATGACTTGGCTGTTAAGTAATAAATGAAGTCAAAACTGTAACACATGGTTTTATTCTGGAAAGTATTTTTAAATTGAATCACACATGCCGTTCGAGTGAAAATGTTTTAAGTAGTTCAAAACAACAATCACTATTTTTCATTGTCTATAGAATACAGCCTTTTAGTTAGCTCAGACAAAACTGATTAAATAAATTAATGTCTTTTTTTGAATTTTTTTATTTCGACTGGTTGACTATTTCAAAAATTAAAGCCAATCAAGCAAAACGTGAGTCACATTTCGCTTTTTTAGAAGAACAATAACGCAAGTGAAAATTACTGATTCCACAGAAATTGCAAATTAAAAAAAATGTAATATGAAACTTACAACTAAGACGTTAAGGAAAAGTTTGTTTATAAATATATTCACACATAAATTTACAAGCAAATTAAACAACAAAATATTTAAGAATAGTAATAATAATTGTCATTGATTGAACTGAATATTCAGTCCAATAGGCTCTTGACTGAAGTCCTTTCGCTTTTTAGAATATCTTTCAAATTCAACAATTTTACATGTTTTGTTCCAACGCGGATTTTAATAATAGATTTATAAATTGTTTTTTTTTATTTGAATGTTAAAAGTTCTTGAAACTAACTTTAACATATATTTCCCATGCTGGCATTTAGTGTTCAAATAATGAGACGATTAAACAAAAAAGGCTTACGAGAGCCAGTTGCCCTTTTTTGGTACACATTTGTGCAAGACAACTTTACAAATGTTTCCTTCTTTTTTCTCTTGTAGAAGATGGACACACCAGCAGTGGAGCGCACAATGATGGTATTTTAAAAAGCCACATCACATATTTGATAAGATAATTAACGTGATATAAGTGCCTTCAAGACTTAAGTCGTTAAGCGTTCAAGTTTGGATTTTCCAACCCGGATTCAATTGCAGATAAAAACATTCTTTTTTATTTTGGAAAAAATATGAAAAATACAATTAATGCAATCTTTCTGCTAAATTTTATAGTATTTTGATAACAGTTTAGAAAAAATAGTAGTAGTCTGTAACTGAACTTCATGAACTCCAAAGTTGAGCACTTAACGTCCTGAGCAATGAAGGTTTATATCAATGTTAATTATCTAATCAAATATGTAACATTCGCGTTTTATATAATTTATTTTTTAAGACGCCTTCGTTGAGCGCTTCATATGACTGTAGGGCATGCAGGAAAGTATTTCCATGTACAAAAAAAAATAAATGAAAAATTTGTACTTTTGCTTTTCGAAAATAATACTCCTAAATGTGCTACTGATTATGCTACGATAAATTGGTACTCGATTCGTTTTCAAATGGTGGTAAAAGTTGAAAATTAGTGGCTTAAATGTTTTTATTACTTAGTATAATTTCACTAAACGTGTTTGGTATTATGTTATAAGTTTACCTAACAGCAAAAAATCTGTTAGTTAAATTTTGTCAGTGCCGATTTTAGTAAACTTATATTGAATAATAAAATTATAACTACACCTTGTAAACTACACAAATAACTAAATGTTTATTTTATGTATGAAGTTTATTAATATTAAAATAACGTTACAAAAACAATAATTATTAAAACAAATGGAATAACACAGTCTTAACAAAGAAACCGACTGCATTCCTCAACGGTGTTCGATAATCTGCCCATCCAAATAGTTGACCCACTGATTGAACCTTTGAATATGATTGAACGACCCTTTTCTGTCGGCCGCCCGGTTTACGATGTTCTTGTTTCCCAGAAATCGTCTCGGGTTAAGGGACCATCCAAAAATAGATTACAGTCGGCCTACCTGACTTTTTCACGACCCCGTGAAACATGGTTAAACTATAACAAAGAAAATATATTAATTAAGCTGAAATTAATAAATATGAGCACGAATATTTTTATTCGTCCTCGACTTCACAGTGTCGCTTTGCGAAACTATCACTTCATTTTGTCTGAAGGACAAATGCCCGTATCTAGCTGTCCTACAACGTTCGGACCCTGGCAGTTCGTCAACCACGTACCGATCATTATCAAGTACTTTAGTAACTAGGAAGGGTCTTCTATAACAAGGTTCAAGCTTTCTGCTCCGCCCATGATTGGGGCCTTTATTGCCTTGTACAACACATGTTGGCCAACCTTAAATTCCCGTAACGGAGCATGCCTCTTATCGAAATACTGCTTCTGCAGAAGCTACTGTTCTCGTTATCTAAGAAACATCATCTCTCAACGTCCCTAGGTCTTGACGTTGCTCGCATGTAACCTCTGACGTGAGAAATGCGTCACTTACGCCACGGGGGCGATAACCAAACAAACATTCATAAGGGTAGGTTGTACAACAGGCAGTTAAAATGCAATCTTAGTTTAACCTATGAACCTCGTTGTATGATGATCGGTTACTGTTAAATATAGTTTTAAAAATGACATTTGTACGGTAAATATAACCAGTTAAAAAATAAACTAATGGTTAAACTAAGTTTACATCATTCTTTGTACAACCTGTCCTAGGTGATTTTATGGTGGTGAAATTAACTGTCGAATTAATTCCAAACGTAACTTTGCTCACAGCTTCATCCCAACGGGATTCGTCTTCTACTTGACCGTTAGCCCGATGGGTCAAAGTAGTACATTCTACATGTTTAATACCTAAAGTTAAATATACTTGTTTAACACCTACAGTTAAACAGCATTCCTTAAAATTCTTTTTCATAAAATCAGTGTCACTGTCGCAAATAAAACTGCGAAGAACCCCGAATATTTCTATTACCTCATC